GAGAACAGGTTTAACCTTCTGAGCCTCTCACTATATGCAACGTCACTCATGCCTGCATGACCCTTATGAAACTTCTTGTACCGCCTCCAGGATCTTGACGTCTTTCACCAAATAAGACTCTCAGGCCTGAACGCAGTACTCTAGATGTGACCTCACAAGGGCCTTGTACAGCAAAACCATCACCTTTTGCTATTGAGAGGCTACAGCCCTCAGGAGTTGATGAAGTGCCCTATTGCCTATGGCCGCAGCTGCCAGACACTGAGGCTTCGGTTTGAAGGTCTGGTCTATGACGATAGACAAGTTTACAAAATCCTCGCTCCTAATTAGAGGTAGATGGTTTTCCGTTTTTGCACCTTGCCCGTCGCTATTTGTACCAACTGACATCAACTTTTGCCATTTGCTTAGATTCAGCGGGAGTTCCCACTAAACTGTCCACTCCTGGATCTTGTTCAGATCCTCTTGTAATTATGGCACATCTGGCCAGCCTACCATTTTGACGTCTTCGGCAAACAAGTAGAGTGGCGAGTGCAGACGACGGGTCGCGGGTTGCAAATCATTACCAAGGAAGTACATGACGTCACTGGATTCTAGGCTTTGTAGGGAGGATCGCAAGCGTCTGTATTTAAAAAGCATTACTAGGTTCTCCTTGGTGGTTGTATGTGTCGCGTTTCGATTGTGGAGTAAGAAGTAATCCACCAACGTTTCCAATTCATGTAGCGCTTCAGTATTGGCGGACACAATTGCAAACTTGACCGTTTCAGTTAAATTCTCTGCCTCTTAATTCGAACGAAAGTGACGTAGAGCAGCTCAAAGATATCGACAACCATTGCTGTCCATCTGAATTTTCACTTCAATCGCACAGAACTGTGATCCATTGTCCGTCACAAGCACTTGTGGAATTCCTTCGCGGCTAAAATGTTTCCGTAGTACCTGTATCATAAATAATGTGGTGGGCGTCGTTGTGAAGAATATCTCTGGCCATTTGGAGCATGAGTTGATCAGAACAAGGGCGTAGTACCGGTTAAGAAATGGACCACAGAAATCCAAATGAACCCTTTGCCATGGTATATAACATTCCGGCCATAGTGTCCAGTTTTTCGGTCTTGTTTGTAGTTTACGTAAACATGACTCACAGTTCTTGGTTGTTGTCTGCTTCCAACTCCGGCCACCAACACATCTGTCAAACCAATGATTTCACCTTGCTTACCTCCGTATGACCTTTATGCAATTAATCTAATACCGTCTTTCGTAGGGGAGGTGGGATTACCAATTGATCGTCACTACACAGCACACCATTCAATTGCACTGACAACTCCCCCTGGTAAGCAAAGAATTGAGGATACCATTTCTTTACCTCTGGTGACCACCCTCTCTTGATTGATGAGAGTATGGTCGAGTAGTACTGTTTGTTAGACTTGCGTAAAGATTTCCGAGACACTGGTGATACTGGGGAGATGAAATGACACTGTTTGGTCTCAGAAAATCGTGAGTAGCGAGAGAGGAAATCAGCCTGCGGGATTGTCTTTCTTGGGCGATGTTGGATGTCGTAGTTGTATGCGGCTAAAGCGATGCTCCACCTCTGTAGCATAACAGCAGTGGAATTCGTGATGAATTTGTTGGGGTTGACCAAGAACTGTAGGGCTTGTTAATCAGTGATGACGGTAAACCACAATGCGAAAGTTACTTGTGCGATCGTCGAACAGCCCAAAATACGGCCAACGCTTCTTTTTGATTCTGTGAGTATCCCTCTTCTACCTCATTAAGTAGACGTGAAATGCAGATCACTGGCATCCCTCTTGTTCTAATACAGCACCGATTCTGATGTCGAAAGCATTGATGATTAGTATAGTAGGTTTTGATGGTAGAAATGGGACCAGAACAGGACGATCAGTAACGCAGTGAATTAGGCCACGTAAGATATCTTTACACTCCATCGACCATCCCCAAGCGTCTGAACACTGAGCACGGAAAAGCGGCTGCGCCCTTGTAGCAAAGTTTGGGATAAATCGGGAATAGTACTATAGGCATCCCATCACGGATCTCAAAAGCATTTGACCCTTTGGAGATTCGATGTTGGCCAATGGTTTGAAACGTGTCGGCTCGGGACGGTATCATCGCCACGGCAGTCGGAGTGGCCTAGGCACTGGATTCAACTTTGTTTATCACACCAACCTGTTCCATTTTCTAAAACACTTTTCGGACATTTTCCCGTTGACCGTATGGCAAACGCGTCGTTTTAGGAAAACAGGTTCACCGTCCACTTTCAACTTTACTGACGGTACCTTTATGCCACCAACGTTACTAAAACATTGTACAATCAATTGTTGAAGATGTGAAGTGATTAGCTTATCATTGTTGGTATGCAGTGTGATTGATCCTTGTAGTAGCCACATTGCTCGAAGGCCCAGAATAGACGGTCTGTGGACTGATACCAGGATTCGGATTTGGATCGACATACCGGACTTAAATGGAACGCACAGCATTGTTTCGCCAGGTAATTGCAATTGCTGGCCGGTAACCCATGAATGTGCACGGAAGTCGGGGCTAGAACAGCATTGGGACAAATTGCAGTGAGTGCTGATTTTGGTAGGATAGATTCGCTGCTTCCTGAGTCCGTAATGAATCGATGCTCCACACCAGACTCGAACCTCAGTGGGGCGAACACAAACTGGCCGTTGGGTTCAGTGGTGCGCAGCGTATAGATCGGGCTTGAGTTCTCATCTGTCTATGGGATATGGGAATCGATCAGGTTGCACTTTGGCATTCGCCATACCTTGCGGATATGGCCCATCTTACCGCATGCATGGAAAGTGGCATTAAGGAATCGACAAGTGGAACGATGGTGATATTCACCATATTAAAAGCAGCGGTTGTTCGCAGCCTTTGGTTGTGTTCGGCTTAAACTGAATACTTGAGGAACCAGAAGTGAATTATGAACACTGAGTGCATCAAGTAATGGTTTTGTTGATTTCCAATAGAATAAAACAGTATTATCCGCATTTGTGGCAGTACACGAATCATCACTTTGCACACCGATTTTTTTAGCCTCAGTAAACTTGATGTCATTCTTTTCCAAAATCTTACGCTTTAATGAGCTGTTGTTGATTCCAGCAGTGAGACGATCACAAAGTTGTTCTTCCAATCGATCATCATAGTTGCATTTTGACGCCTGTTTATTGAACTGAAGAATGAATTCACGGCACGGCATGTTGGCAGCTCTAATCATTGAGTTGACTTTAGCCCGTTCAGTGGCCTGAAGATGCACTGAGAGAATGTAGTCCGGAAATTGGGATTTCAACTTCTCGAACGGCAGTTCAGCAGGAAGATTCAGGAACACCAAATGCTTCACCGGGGAATACAACTCTCGGCAGCCTAACGTCGAAAATAGGACCGATTGATTTTCTTTCCTCCTTTCACGATGCAGCACCATTATTCGAAACGTTTCAATCACTCTTCGATTTTTGATGCGCTTTTGTGGAGGTTCAATGGTTCAATGGCAGGAATCTCCTTTGTGAGACGCCAAATTGTGAAAATCGGAATAGTACTGAATGTAGAAATAAGAGAATCCGTAATGTACTTCTTAGAACTGGATTGGCTCCAACCCGAACTGCGGACACCAATGAAATACACAAGGAATTGATAGCAGCAAATTCTTATATTTGTTGATGGAATTAGAGCATATTTCATGGAAGGTAATAGACCATATGGTTGGTTAAACGACCATCCTCCAATTACGTAACCTTTTGCTCCGACGCATCATATGTGATAACTCGGATGTCATGTTTGCCCGTTGTACCATTGGCCGAGCTTCCTAAATGGTGATTGGATGACATGAAACTGTACATGGATCGCGGTCAAGAATGTCTGGATCACCATAGCAATATACAACGAATTTGCTTTTAAGAAATTATAATTTTCCGACAAAAGATATTTCCAACAAAAAATTTGAAAGCTCACTAATTTCTAGGCACTGATTTAATGGATTCCCAAGATAATAAGGTTAAATCGCAAACGAACGTTTGTACAAAAGAATAACCAAACGGTTCACGAAACGGAAGGTGGTTGTATATTTATTACCTACAGAGCAAGAAGGGAGATATGAAAGCGTAAGCATTGCGGGTATTGAAAGCACACACGTGCTGACCAAAGAGGTGCCCTTGGTGCGGTAAAACAATAAGATGCACTGAAGAAAGGGTACATGTAGAATGGGAGTTGATTAGTCACTACACGTTAGAAATCTTATTCTGGAAAGAGCTCCAGCCATCACTCATCTAGAGCGTGCTTAGATGCAATTCCTTGGTTGTCAGCCTCCTGAGACATGCTCACTTTTCTATTGCCTATTTTGTTCTCTAAGCAGATTATCCTGTAATAGATGCCGGCTGATCCCACTATCTTTACATCATTTACAAAGATGAAGCACAGTGAACGTAAGATGGCAGCCAAGTCGTCTATAAAAATGAGGAACAGTAAGGGATCAAGCAATGAGCCCTGCGGTACTCAACTAGTGGGGACGGCTTTTGCAGATACTTTGTCTCCAATCCTCACGTAAAACGTACGACCGGTCAAGAATTCACTTATCCATATGTGTATTTTCCCGCCTATTCCCTTGTGTTTGACTTTGGCTAACAGCAACCTGCGCCGACGGAATCAATTAAGGATACTGCAGTGTTACTTCAAAAATATGCAAGTGGTTTTCAATATGAGACCTTCTGCTTATCGCATTGAAGATTAAGTTTCTATCTAAGGTATTGCAACCCGCTCTTCAAAGTTCCTGTATACGCACGGAGCTTATGCAATACCAGCCTGCAAATCGGAGGCAAATGACCCCGGGATAAGAGTCGCCGTTGCCTTTGCCCTTCTTCTACCTCTCAAGTAGCAGCCTTGAAAATCGGAATAACTCTCTTTAAACCCCAAACTGTGTTAAAAATGCGTTGACCTAGCGTATCCATGCCACTTCAAGCGATTATTTTAAGACCACACTTGGAGTACTACATTTAGACCTGGGCGTCGTATGTTCGCAATGATTTCAAAAACCTATAAGAGTTTCAGCAACTAGTAACGCGGATGGTTTTGATTAAAAACAGCACAACTATTGGGTGATACCAAACTTTTCGAACCTGTTTTCTCTTGAATACCGTAGGATGAAAGGTGACATAACCGTTGTGAATGAAGCCACTATGTTTATGGAGCAGTCAGTTTTTGTGCATTTTTTCACTTTGTGGGCCAACAACATTCCTTGAATGCACAGATAAACACTTGAGAGAAACAGGAGTAGGCCAGCAAAAGGTTCCCTTTCTTTTACAAACAGAGCAGTCCCTGCCTGGTACACGCTACCACTCCAGCTAGATGAAGTCCCAGCAACTAAAAGCTTCAAACTAGTTCATTTAAGTTCTCACAGGACGATTTGTGGCTCTTGCCAATCGAGCGTCCGGATTTGTGTGTTTGTTGGCGCGTTTCCTTGGCTTCGAACATTTCAATATGCAATTTTTCTGAAAGGCAGAATAGTGTGTTAGTGTGTTTCTTTGTGGTTAGGTTACAGGTGGTACTAAACGCTCACCTCAGGGAAAGTCGCTTGAAAGGCCATGGTATCCCCTATTGTCAGATGTGTGCTAGTGGTCATGTTATTTCACTGATTAAATGGACATAACCTTTACCGTTAACGCTTTGTTTGAAGTTTTAAAGTGCTTGTAATGAAAATCATATTCGCTCAGTTACTCGTAAAATATAAATAGGATACTACATACTTTTTACGGTGAAATGTCTGTTCGCTTTGGTTTTTGGCCTTAGGAGGGCCAAACATCTGAGGAGTTGTATAATTCAAAGTAAAATATCAGTAGATATTTCATACTCGCGAATAGGTTTGTATTAGGCCGTTTTGGTGTAATATTCTTCCTGTCAATTTTCGCCATTTGAGATTCATTGTTTTGGATTACTTTTTCCGTATTTTATTGGCACTTTCGTCAATATTATTAAAGCAGTTACGGAAAAGCATCCTGTTTCGTGTGGAACCAGTGGATACCTTGAGTAGGTAAACAACGGCATAAAATGTGATAGCTCTGGTCTCATGATGTTGAATCAGGGCTACACGACTCATCTTCAACATGGAGAACTAAAATATAAATGCGTCTGGCCCTGCAAGAGGAGTACTCGTGCTAAGACTAGCAACCAAGCAGGTGGAGGTGATTAAATTGAGCGAAAAGCGTATTTCGAAGAGAGGCAACGGAAACCAAGAATAAGAAATTACGTAAAGGAGCTATGGTGACAACATTTACAGTCGATAGAAATGAGTGCTCATACAGAGCAGTTAGAGAAGGATCTCAAAAACTGTACCCCAGCACTCCAGCTATACCAGTTCTAAGAAGAAACGTTTTGCTAAGGAAGTTTGCTGAGCCAACGATGTCACTCCCAAATAGATCAACGAGCGA